TTATAAACTGTAAATTGTTTTTAACATCTAAAATTTCTGTAAAAATTGCCAACATTACTAAACAGACATAACTTATTGTGAGAAGTTATTGAAGTCACAGTTGAATTTAAAATAGACCGATAGATAGACTGGCCATCTGGTAGACCGACGCCCACTTATAACCCGGGCCAGGGCTGTCATAACCAAAAAAGAGCATTACAAATAGCTTTTATCAACTGCAAAAGCCCGTTGGTTGCTTTTCTCGAAAAACAGCGTGCTAATCCAATGACATTTCTCAACCCGCCCTCTCTTTTGAGTAAGGTTATCAAATTTTGCTATTTGAGCTGACCAGAGTTGGAGAGAAGTGAGTTTAAACAGATAAACCTCAAAAGTGCAAGGGGCCACAGAAAAAATGCTTAAAGGCCTCCATGGGAGTGCAACTTTGCTATTAATTGCCACCACAAGTTTGACTGCGGCAGGGCAGGAGAATGAAGGAGATTTAACCGTTCACCCAGAAAAAGGATGAGAGACACATGACCCAGAGACGGACTGAAGAAAATGTTACATTAATAACTGCAAGCTAGCACACAGTCACAAAGACACTGAAACGTCTTTGTGAAATAAGAAAGAAAATCTCAACACTGCATATATCAAATATTGTCAAGTAAAAAAGGAAACATTCATTCAAAGTCAAATGTAGGTTGCAATAAAATAAACAATCCTAAGTTCACCCATCCTTTTTTGTCAGTGAGTAGCTTATCCTAGACTTAGGGCCAAATGCAGGGGTGTCCAACTCTTTTTCATTTTTCATCTCTCCATTCCATGAGTACTTATTAAAATTAAATAATATTGTATAACTTTTCACATTGATTGCAATTTTTCTGTAGATAGAAACTGCTTTAATTTGAAAGATAAAATATTTTTAAGCACACATTTGTTATTTTAAATGATATATTTATTGTCCTTCTAGTGTCTAGAGGAGGACTACTTGAATATAAATCTTGAAAGTCCACAGACACTTTTCAAATAGTCAAAAATTCATTTATTATAACTGGTCAAAACACAAGCTGGAAACTCCAGTTTCTTTTTATGCAAAACAATAAACATATGGAACTCCTCTCTGTACAGCGTCTCATAATTATTCATCAGACCATTATGGTACTGCTATAACGGTCTGCAAACTTTAGAACCCTGTTAGAGGAGTGGATGGCTCCACATGACTCCTAACAGCATATAGACAGAACTTTTTGTTTTATAAGTCTACAGGTGTCATTATTTCATCAACCTTTTCAACATTTGTGCACCACACAGTGAAGGCAAAGAATTGAAAGCCTTTCAGTGACTAGTCTGCAGGAAAAGAAAGAAAAACAAAATGGTTCCCTTTGTGACTTTTCCCACTTTTTTGAGAGCTCCAATAATAACATAGGTTTCGTGGGACATTCATAGACACAATCAGTTGCTGCTCACAATGACATCCAAATAATCCCAGTGCTTATTCCATGGTAACCAAACAGAGCTTTAAACAGAAGGACGGAGATTCAAGACAAAAGTCTAACAGAGTAGATTTGGCTTAAAAACTTTGATTTTACATGTAGACTATATGATTGTACTTGTGTTTACTTGAACAAAGTGTTTGTTTATTGTTGCAGTGCAAAGAGAGAATGCGTCCAGTAAAAGCTGCCCTGAAGCAGTTGGACAGACCAGAGAAAGGACTGTCAGAGCGCGAGCAGCTGGAGCACACCAGACAATGCCTCATAAAGATTGGGGACCACATCACTCAGTGTTTGAAGGAATATTCGAATCCTGATCAGATCAAGCAATGGAGAAAGTTAGTTTTTACATTGCATCTGTTGATTGATAGCATGTTACAGATTCTGACCAAAGTGGTTAAAGTCATTGCACCACATGACATTCATTTTGTTTTACAGGAACCTGTGGATATTTGTCTCTAAATTCACAGAGTTTGATGCAAGAAAACTACACAAACTCTATAAGCACGCAATCAAGAAGAGACAAGAAAATGCCCAAGTATGTAAAATCATTGAATTAAACCTTATTCTTCTCCTCTTAACATTAAATGCTAAAGGAAAAGGTAATATGATCTCTCTTATTAAAAATGTTTCACCAGTCATCCAAACGACCTGTTTTGGTCTGAACATGGTTGGAAGTAACAAACTTAATTGCACAGACATGTTCTGTGGAGGTTTTTAAAGCAAATTCACTCAGTCCTGTCTGTTTTGAATCCTATTGTCTTGTTTCAATGGTTTATTTGCATAGTTTTATTTTGTTTTTTATCTCCTTGTAAATGTGCAGTGCTTTGTTTGAAAGCCGTTTGTAAATACTTATCATTAGGCCCGAGCAGCAAAAGCGCTGCAAAGGCCTATTGTAATTGCTCCGTTTCTTATTATGCTTCTGTCAAATGAATTGGCTTTTTGGAGGCTTTGGCATGTTCAAAACTTCCAGTGGAATCGCAAGTGTGTGTGACCAAAGTGTTCTACAGTGCCCCCTAACGTGAAATAGGGTGAGAAGCTCGGTCATCTGGGAGGGACTCAGAGTAGAGCCGCTGCTCCTCCACGTTGAGAGGAGCCAGTTGAGGCTCGGGCATCTGGTCAGGATGCCTCCTGGACGCCTCCCTGGTGAGGTGTTCCGGGCACGTCCCACCGGGAGGAGGCCCCGGGGAAGACCCAGGACACGCTGGAGGGACTATGTCTCTCGGCTGGCCTGGGAACGCCTTGGAGTTCCCCCAGAGGAGCTGGAAGAAGAGGCTGGGGAGAGGGAAGTCTGGGCCTCCCTTCTGAAGCTGCTGCCCCCACGACCCGACACCGGATAAGCGGCAGAAAATGGATGGATGGATGGATGCCCCTTAGAATATTTTTAAAAAATTAGACCCAAGCCATGCTTTGACCGACAATTATGAAACTTGGTATACATGTATATCTTATCAGGAGCTACAAAAAAGTCTCTTGGAGCTATTGGTCCAAGCCCAACAGGAAGTCAGCAATTTTGGATCATAACCGCCACCTCGTCTTTTTTTGACGTCATATCTGATCGAACTCGTCCTACAGCTTTTGAGACACAGATTTCAGAATCAATCAGCACTCTCTTGAGGCATTGGAGGTCAAAAGTTATCCTCGGATTTTTTTGTACATTAAAGCATGTGGGTGTGGCTAAGTGTCAAAATCTAACTTTGCCATGAAACATCAAGGTGCAATAACTTCTACATGCAAGGTCACAGCTGCATCAGACTTTCTATGTCATTACAAACTAGCCATCATCACATTTACATGGCCAATTGGTAACATCACCTAACCCCCACCCTCTTCCAACAGGAAGTCACCTGTTTTTTTTCTGCTGTTTTTTTCACTTGGCATAGGTTTAAACCTGTGCCAAGTGACATGCAATGACATGATCAATTCTGTCAACGTTTGCTGCTGGCTGAACCATATGGGCATTACTAAATGGCAAATATCAATTCCTCAGTGTATACATACGGTTGTCTCTAAATCAAATGCATCATCTAATTTGGACCAAACTTTAAATTACTAATTTTTGTGAACCTCTAAATTGCCCAATAGCATTAAATTGCAATTTGACTCCACTGCGCCCCCTAGGTTATTCCATCAGCTACATCTCCTCACTACATCAACTGATGTGCACCAGATTTTTTGTGCATCGTCAGGAAGCACTGCTGAACACATTGATGTGTATTGCCTAGCGGACGGGTGCAGGAACAGTGCAAGACCGTTGATGGTGGTGAGCGGATGACGTTGCTGGAGCTCCTGCGGTTGCCGTGAGGCCGGAGCGGCACTAAGTAGCGAGGGCCGTTTGAGGCTGCTTGCAGCTTTAATTATATTATCATTTTTCTTATATTATCATTATTATTATATATTGAATTCAGAGCAATGATACTATTAAGTCAATGCTGTACAGCAGGTGTTATAAACATGAAATCTGAGGCCGCCTCCTCTGTTTAGTTTTTGTTTTGATGGTTTCTCTCACTCATCTCACAAGTTCCTTCCCTGTCAAAAATGTGCACAATGCTGTCGCCAATCGAGTGTTCTTTGTCTTTAAGAAGTATGTTACTTCCAGCCATTTTCAGAACTTGAAGAAGACTTTTGGATGCAAGGTAAATCATGTTAAAGGAACAAGACAAGTATCCCAATGTCCTAAGTATTTATTGTCATGTCCTAGATAACTGAGAATCTATGCCAGCGTATTCTAATTTTAATAGAATATGACTATTGTGTCTTTAGACTGTGGAGCAGAACACTAGAACTGTAAACACTCAAGGCTATAAGCATGCAGGTAAGTGTCTTCTGAACGTATAATAAAATCAAGAAGCCACCGTTCATTAATTTTGGATATGTTTTTTGTGCATAGAAGTTGAAAGACTGAAGGACAGTTCCCACCAAGATGACAGCAGCAGAGATAGCTACTGCTCAGACAGACATCAGCCTTCGGGTAGATACTCTGAAAGCAGCAGCAATAAAGACAGACACGGCTCTGAGTACCACAAGAAGACCAGTGTGGTAGACTCCAGGAAAAGACCGTACTCTTCTTTCAGCAATGGGAAAGACCACAGAGACCACTATAAGGCAGACAGCCGAGACAGACAGGACAGGTGAGCATGAACATTCACACAAGGAGACACTTCTTATCTTTCTGAACTTAAAAGTAGAAGTAGAATAACAAACTGACCTTTATTTGCCTTTTTATATATATATCGGCAATTGCCCTTGCCTGACTATTGCTAAATAGGTATATCTTGGGGCAGCCGCTCTGTTTACACAGTGATGGTCTGTCACAGGGCTATATTTAGGCCCTGGAGGACAGTGATTATTCTGTACATGTACAAGTGTTTTCTAACTTCTGGAAAACATAACTAGTTCTGGAAATGGTAAGATTTATTTTTTTAATGGTTTTCAAGCATTTCTAACAAAGTGGATGGATCCAAGAGACATAGCCGAGTGTGGGGATGAGTAGCCGTGATCTGGACAAAATAAACACTTTTCTCAACTTATCTGTAGATAAGTTATATTTATCAAATGTTCAGACTCCTCATGTGACTTTTTTTTTTTTTTCAAAACAGCTACTAATAATAAATTTAGTAATTCTTTTTCTGCGAGAGTCTTAGATAGGTCAACGTTCTAAGATTGTCGTAAGGGGAAAATAGGGGCAAAAAATCCTGTAGTGTGAACTATATTGCAATAGGTAGTTGGATGTGCCCGTCTTTTCAATTTAAATGTAGTGATTACTGAAGGGCATCATAGTATACAGACTTAATAATATACACTCTTTTGGTTGAATGCAGTATTTATTTCCACTTTCGCTTTATGTTGTTTAGTTTTTTACTCAAGTATGTTTTTTTTGTTAATGGAGACAGAGAATCCTTTTTGTTTTTGGTTGTTTTGTTTATTTAGTTTATTAGTTCCAGTATTATGTGTTCTTTTAAAATAAAGTGCATCTATCTATAGCAGGAAATGGCATGCATTATTAGTCATTTCCATGAAATGAGTGTCAAAAGGTCTTGAAACAATATTATCGTTTATCACAATAATTTTTTAGACAATTAATCGCTCAGCAAGATTTGTTATCGTGACAGACCTACTCATGGAGCCATGTTTCCCTCAGCCAATGGGCTGAGAGAAACATGGCTCCATTTTGTAACAATTCAAAAGCTACGTAGCTTTTATTGCTTCGCAAAAAAATTAATCAGCACAGAAACTCCAAAGCACACAAAGAAGCAATTATATATATATATATATATATATACACACACTTTTGTCACAGTACCCCCAAGGATTTAAAACTACTTTCACCCATGGGAAGTAGTCGTGCTGTCTTCTTCCTCCTGCTACAATGCTCCCTGACGGCGATTTTAATTGAATTTTAGCTACTTCCATTTTGCTTTTGACAGGTGGGAATAAATTTCCACCTACTAAAACAGCTTGAACTACCATCAAATCAATATTTGTGATCATAAAAGCATGTGGTCAGTTTATACACCTCGCTTAGCATTTGTTTTTAAAACAATTTAGTTTGTAAATGTTAACTAATTGAGAAATCAGTCACATATGCATCTGTCTTTAGTCATCAGCTTTTTTTACTATTATTTGCTCCAGGTTTACCCAACTGATTCTGATGTGTTTCAGGTATTATAACGACAATAAACATAGGAAACTGGAGGAATTCCGCCCCAACAGAGACCATCGGCAGGAGGTGAAGGAGCTTTCTCATTCAGACTACCGTTCTTCCTACCGCTACCATTCAGACTGGCAAACAGATCAGAGAGCGTCAGCAAGTGGAACACGTTCTCCTCGAGATGAACGCTCACCTTGTGAGTCTCACTCACCATTTGACTACTCATCAGACCACAAGAGTACGCCTGAGCAGAACTGGAGCAGCCGTAAGACATAACAGGAGCTGCTTGGTTCTACAGCAACAGTCCTAAACTCGGCAACCCAGTAAATGCCTTATGCTGATTAGGGTTCCCTGCCATGAAGCTGTTTGAAGCACTCTGTTTCAGTCTCTTCATTTCATTATCTCGGTAACAGTGACAGGGTCCTCAACCTGTGAACCCTGTCAGAAAAAGAAAACAGGAAGGACTTGTTGCTCCATTAGACTCTACGGCTCTCAACAAAATGTTACTATCCTCAAGCTTGAAGTGGACATAATTGACCCTTTATGCTGCCTCCAATTCCTCCCAGCAAATGACACTGGATCTTATTTTTGACTTCCCTCAGTGCTTGTCTTTGTATTCAGACTTAATGTGATCATGTTCCTTATTTAAGAGTTAAGACAGTAAGATGTCACTTCTCACGTGAACCGTGACACATAGTGATGTAGAACTGTCTGGTTTAATCCAGTATGGACTCAGGCTCAACACCTGCAGTACCTCATTTACATTTTTTTTTCAGTTTTTCCCACCAGCAACTTTGTAAATTGTTTAATAAGATAAATAGAAAAATGCAACCTGGATTTTTTTACATAAAATAATGCTTTTGTACATATTTTTTTATGTTTACTTCTGTAAAATAGTGAATCAGTGAACTGTTTCCTCAGGCTTATTATTATGACTCCACATTTCTCTTAACTCAGGCTTTTTTCATCATTCGATCAGTGAGTTTTTTTGTCAGTAATAATCAGAATGTATTTGTAATGGGGATGCTCACTTTATTCACTACTGCAAAGTTCTTTAGTGTAGTGAAATGAAAAGTGGAAGCTGATCTCCATCACATTTTTATGGTGTAGTTTCAGCAAAAGCCCCTGTAAGAATTAAAATCAACTTGATTTTTATTTTTTACTTTTCAATTTATTTTCCATGTAGGCAATAATATTGTCAATGTGTCTATGCAGCCAAGTATATTTGTTGTGAATCACCTAACTGAATGAAGTCACTGTTAAGGTTTAAACTTGTATAAATTTCCTATATATTTCCAAAGGAATTTACACTGAAAGTGCATGCGTTTTTATGGGCTGTTTTTATATAGTTGTTTATAAAATCATTAAAATATGTCACTGTATTCACATGCAAACTTTTTTTCTAACAAACTGCTGTTTAACTCTTATTCTGTTTTGACTCATTGTAGGTTTAGTCAGTGACATCAGCCATCAGAGACATGTAACAGTAGTTTCAGGACACTTTAATCACTTGTGATTTCCATAATACAATGGAAGATTAATGACCTTTGTCATCTAAATTTACCTCAAGTCCAGCATGTTCAGTTTGTCAGTCAGCTACTTTGGATGGCATTAAATTGGCTTCTGGTAATAAGTAAAGAACCTTGGTGTTTTTCTAGAGCAGGACATGTCATTTACATCCCATATTTTTTAATCTCTGGAAAATTGCCAAAATTAGAAATATCCTACCTAAGAGTGCAGCTGGGGAAACCAGTTTATGCATTTGTTACTTCGACGGTAGACCAAATGTAATTCCTTACTATTAGAAAGTCTAAAAATCCAGGTAAAAGTCTTCCACTTATCTAAAATGCTGCAGCAAGAGTTGAAAAGAATGATAATTTTCTTATTTTAGTTTCTATTCACTAGTTTCCTGTGGAATTCAGAACAAAATTTAAAATAAATGGATAATAAATTCCAATTTATTATCAAGCTCTAACATATATCAGAAACTATTCTATGAGCAAGCTTCCTTTTGCCATGGTAAATATCTCAAGATGTATTTTATAATTCATGTAATGCCCTTGTCAGCCAATTTTACTTGAAAGCAAGCATGCTCAATCTAATTAACAACCACTTTGGTTTCACTACCGTAATGAGACTGAGCATGCACTATCAGGTAAAACTTTGATTATTAATCCAAAATGTTCAAAACTCTGGAATAAGTTTAGGTTTCAATCTGCCCCATTTAAAACAAAATACACAAAACTTGAACTTCAAGAAAAAATCAAGTTGGCACTGGAATAACACAAGTTCAGTGCAATATTCATGCAGTTTTGGTTCTTTTCAATTCACTTGGCCAATGTTGACATGATTCTGTGCTGCCCAAAACTGCTATCACCACTTACATCTCAAAATATTAGAATATCATGAAGTTTCATATTTTGTCACTTGAAAGTTAAACTTAACTCTATATAAGTTCAAGTTTATATAGATTCATTACAAATGGATTAAAATATTTCAAACCTATTGGTTTTGGTTTGCAGAGTAAAAACCCCAAATTCAGTTTTTAAGAACAATAGATAATGATGTCAGACTTCTGAAAGCTATGCCTTTGGTATTTGGTTTGGACTCCTTTTGTATGAATTACTGCATCATTGTGGCATGTCATAGAGGTCAGCCCTGAAGGCCTCTTCTGAGTTTTCCAGGAAGCTTTTACATTCAGGTCATCTGCACTGCTGGTTCTGGTGTCTATGGTAAATGGACTGAACTCATATAGCATTTTTTCCAATAATTTTTGACCACTCAAAGCGCTTTACAGTAGAGTCACATTCATCCATTCACACTCACAAATGTTCACACATTCATACACCGATACACAGATTGGGATTAGGTCCCTTGCCCAAGGGCACATTGCCATGAGGCGGGAGAAAGCTGGAATCGAACCTACAACCTTCTAATCACAAGACAACTACTCTTCCCACAGTCGCCTCCTGAGTAGCCACCGCCTGAGGGAGTGGCTGCTATCCCTTGCTGGTTATAGTGAAACGGTGCATCAGTACATTGGCCCTAAGTCCACAAGTTAGTTTGTCATGGACTCACCAAGAAGTCAGCTATTATCTATAGCCATGGGCATCTTTAGATTTTTCTTCTTAGGGGCTTAGGGGTGTTGGACTGGAGCACACTGTTGACGGGGCATACTAAAAAATTATAATTTAATCTAAATGCACTGAAGTCATAATTACAATGAACGGTGGCCTTGAATAACAAAACTATTAATTTACCCAAACTATGAAGTAGATTGATTTGTTACCATGGCATACGACAGTGCTACTTTTTATAGTCGCACGTTTAGCCTGTTTAGCTTCCTGTAGCTTTACTGCATACAATTCTGTTTTTATCAGTATTATGTGAAGTCTATTCAACTTACTTATTCAAACTTCAAAAATACTTTATTGATCCTGAAGGAATCATATTAATATGAATTAACTGTTATTGTATATAGTGATGGCTGTTGGCAGGGAAGGACTCTTGCAGCAGTCTGTATTAATTTGAAGAAGCCTCTGACTGAAGAAATGTTGCTTTCCCAAAACAGTCTCATGAAGAGGATGTCAGGGTTCATCCATCCATTTTGTCCCTTAGTAGGGTCAGGAGGGTTGCTAGTGCCTGTCTCCAGCTAACATTCCAGGCGAGGTACACCCAGTCTGTCGCAGGGCAACAGAGACAGACAGGACACACAACCATGCACACACACACCTAGGGAGAATTTGGAGAGGCCAATTAACCTGACAGTCATATTTTTGGACTGTGGGAGGAAGCCGGAGTACCTGGAGAGAACCCACCATACATAGGGAGAACATGCAAACTCCATGCAGAAAGACCCTGGGCTGGGAATTGAACCCAGAACCTTCTTGCTGCAAAGCAACAGCTCTACCAACTGCACCACTGTGCAGCCCAGATGTCAGGGTTGTCCAGAATTAACTTGATTTTATGAAAAATCCTTCTTTGCCTCATCATCTCCAGAATTTCCACAGTTGTCCCCAGAATAGAACTAACTTTCTTTATCAGGTTGTTTAACCCTTCTAGGTTCCTGGCTCTGATGCTGCTGCCCCAGCAGATGACGGCGGAAGAGATGATAACAGAGTTTTAGAAGATCTGCAGCATTTTCCTGCAAATCTTGAAGGATCTTAGCTTCCTCAAAAAGTATTGTCAGCTCTGTCCCTTCTTAAAGATGTAGCGTCTCCAGTCCAGTCTGTTGTCCAGCTGTGGTCTGTTTGTGAGGTAGTCACAGATCCAGGTGATTGTTGAGGTCTCCACTTGTGTCTTTTGGAGTTTCTGATAAAGCAAATCAGGCTGAATTGTGTTAAATGACTGGAGAAATCAAAGAATATGGTCCTCACAGTGCTCTCTGTCAATTTAAAGTGAAAAATTGTGGTCCATTATAGATTACAAATGGCAACTACAACTCTCCTTTATGAAGAGGTTTTTTGTTGTTGTTCAGTAGTCTTTATGAAATGGCACATTATCGTGCTGGAAGTAGCCATCAGAAGATGGGTACATTGGTCATAAATGTAGGGCCGTGCAGAGACCTTTGTAGGGGCAGAGGCTCATTGAACAAGATCTTTAAACACAGTACAACATAGCAACAACCCATATCAACAAAGAATCTAATATTTAATCAGACCATATTACACCATGTTCCAAATTATTATGCACAGCAGATTTTCTAAACATTTTATGGATTATAAAGAACTAAAAACGGTCATTCTTTGAATGTTCACCATTAAGTGGTCACATCAAAAGCTATTTTTTATCACTGTCTTTTTATTGAGATCTTTCCTTTTATGCATACAGTTTTTAAATACAGAGAGGTACTTATCCAATAGATACAAAATAATATACAGAAAATTAATCCCTACAAAGTAATCCCATTTAGCCCACCCAGGTCACTACCCAGTAGATCCACGCACCACATTCCTATCCCTGACAGAAGTGGAACGTAATAGGGTAAATTAACTTAATTAATCTGGAGCCTTATTGTATGTTTTGAAATGAGTCAAGAAAGGGCCCCCATGTTTTTTCAAATTTACTGGCTGAGTGTTGAAGAGAGCATCTAATTCTTTCCAGTTTCAAACACGACATAAGATCACATAACCACTGCTTGTGGGTCGGAGGAGCAACACCCTTCCACCTGGTCAGAACTGTACGCCTCGCTAGCAGCAAACCAAATGCCAGTGCCTGAATTTAAAGGCTGGTAAAGGCAACCCCTCACCACTGAAGCCAAAAAGAGCCAAGAGAGGGCCAGGTGTTACTGCGACTCCGGCCAGCCTGGACATCGTACGGAAAACATCTGTCCAGAACTGACCAAGAGTGGGGCAGGACCAATACATATGAACGAGTGTGGCCACAGCAGTTTTGCATTTATCACAGTATGGGGTGATTTCTGGATAGAAATGAGATAGTTTGCTTTTGGAGAGATGGACTCTAAGTACAACTTTGAACTGAATGAGGCAATGGCGTGCACAAGGAGATGTTGTATTCACCAGTTTAAGTATAGAGGCCCATGTCTCATCCAGTATAGCCATATTCAAGTCTTCTTCCCATGAGGTTTTAAGTTTAGATGAGGAGGTCTCTTTCATAGTCAATATTTTATTATAAAGCCACGAAACCAGCCCTTTACGAGTCAGGTCCAATAATAGGATGGTTTCTAACAGTGTATGCTCTGGCAGAGAAACTGAGCCTGAAAGGTGAGACTGAAGAAAGTTTCTGGCTTGCAAATATCTAAATAAATGGGATTTTGGTAAACCATATTTATTACCAAGTTCTTCAGAGGATGCCAAATTCTTCTCTATGAAAAGGTCCTTAAAATGAGTAAGCCCCCTCTGGTGCCACTCTAGGAACACCCCATCCTGAACAGATGGTTTAAAAAGGTGGTTAAGTGCAATTGGACTTAAGAGAGAAAAATCGTGGAGTTTAAAGTATTTCCTAAACTGGCCCCATATTTTCAGTGAGTGTTTCACTACAGGGTTTAAAATGGGTTTAGCTGTAGCGAGCGAGAGTGGGGAGCAAAGCACGGCCGGGATGGATATGTTGTTACCACTGCGTAGCTCCATAGCCACCCAGTCAGGGCAGCCACCCAGGTTATGGTAAAAATACCAGAACACTAAGCATCTAAGGTTGACGGCCCAATAATAAAACCAGAAATTGGGAAAGGCAAATCCCCCCTTGCTGTTTAGGTTTTTGGAGTTGTAATTTATTAAGCCTTGGGCGTTTACCCTGCCAAATGAAGGATGAAAAAATCGAGTCCAGTTCTATCTTTATTCCTAATGTTTTTTTTAATGAAATAGGTATATAAATTTGGGTAGTATATTAATTTTAATTGAATTGATACATCCCACAAGGGACATGGAAAAGGGCATCGACTTGGTGAGGGATCCCTTCACTTGGTTCAACAGTTGAATCAAATTATCTTTGAACAGGTTTTTATGTTTTTTTGTCACTGTGATACCAAGGTATGAGAATTTTTGTCTTTCAATTCTGAGCGGCAAGTTAGCAAAATCTGACAAATTAGCTTTATTGCCTATGGGGAAAAGCTCGCTTTTGGTAAGGCTCAACTTATACCCAGAAATCTGACTGAACTGGCTAAATATATTGAGAGCAAAAGGCAGTG